GGTGAATGAGAGTATTACTTTGTAAAATTGGGATTCCTGCCCCATCCCCAGGGGCTAGGGCGGGGCCCCAAAGGGAACATTTACCAATATTTTCAAATTCTTATCCATTGATGACATGACAAGTATTGTATTTCACTTAGTTTACATGCTGATTTCCACATCACATCTAAACAATAAAATAAAGCTACCAGTACCTATGATATAACTCAGGTGACCGCTAAGGCCCTTGGGCCTCTTGTTTGTAGTTGATTTCACCGCACAGATTGCGAGGTACAGGTGCTTAGACCGGGCGAGATGAACTTGGTCAAATCCGTCGTGCTTTATAATAAAGTCTTGCATACAAAGAACAATGTAACCTTGTTACAGATATAACGCTTGATTGACACGATATTGTTATAAGTGTTTGCCTCTGTGACGATAATTACACTGTTATCATGACTTGTGTCTACAAATACAGCCTAGATTTGTAATAATATTGATAGTTTATTTCATATTTTCGTTAAGTTTTATATATGCATGTACTTATTTGATGTTTTTTTTTTTTTTTTTTTCACAGCAATATGGCTAAACAAGCAGTTGGAATCGATTTGGGAACCACCTATTCTTGTGTTGGAGTTTTCCAGCATGGAAAAGTCGAAATCATTGCGAATGACCAGGGAAATCGAACGACCCCAAGTTATGTAGCGTTTACAGACACAGAGCGTCTTGTAGGAGATGCCGCCAAGAACCAAGTGGCTATGAATCCCTCAAACACAATTTTTGGTAATTACTGAACATAGCCTAGAATCTAATTTAGTTCTTTTTCAGGCTTTTCACCAAACTGGTGAAAATACCTATTGTTATTGTAATGTTGTTTTTTGGGTTTTTTTCCGTTACGATTTTGTGGAGTCCAAATCTTTTGATTGGTAGCAGATGTGTTCATAGTCTTTTACCCTTTCACCACTGTAGACCATAATGGACTCATCCAGATCAATGTATGGTAGAGTCTACTTAGGTTACGTAGGGGTGAAAGGGTTAGGGTATGTTGTAGGCCAAGGTCTAAAGGTGTGATTGCAACATTTTCGAGTAGGTCAAAAATTCAATATGGTCGCCATGACATCATAGGTGGAAATGTTTAAAATGTACAGCAGTCATGCAATAATATTATTCGGGGCTATCTTTTTCTTGTTGTCTCGTTCTTATGTTAATATAAAAAAGGTCAAATAAAAAACCTTGCTGTTGGGTCTGAAGGTCCCGTATTTTCAAACATCTTATTTTCAAAAATTGTTCAAAATTCTTTCGGAGTCTAATGAGGATGAGTCTAAATTGGAAAGGGGAGAAGAGGTTATTAATAGTGAGAACTTGATGTTCCAGTCGTTTTTGTGGAGTTATACACCGATCAAATGGTGACGTGAATCAAAATTCATGCCTAACGGTACTGTTGTGCTAAAACAGCCTGGGGAGAACACTGTAAATAAAGTGTAGGTTATTATGTTTGCCAAATTTTTGACAACTTCAGTTTTTATCTTAAATCCAAGATGACCACCATGGCATTGATCCGTTTTCCCCTAATTGCAATAACTCAATGACGAATGAAGCCATCAATTTCATCTTTTGGACATGTTATGGAGACCAACAATGCAAACTTTTTCCTTCAGAAACATTTTTGTGGAAAAGGCCTACTTCCGTTTTCATTATTTCATCAAGTTAAAATGCACTTTTTGGGGTAACAAACTTTTAAAAAGCTTTAAAATTCATTAAAGTGTAGAGTTTTGATATTATAAGATGCTGAGATGTTTAGTTATCACATTTGACAAAATGGTTGGTGATCTATGATCAAGGTCAAGGGTCAAATGTTTAATGAAAACAGCACACTTTCAGTACTATGGTTTTTATTAACCCTTTTCTCCATAGTGGGTAAAGACCATGAGGTTTAAAAAAAATATGGTAAAAAGCCTGTCAAATTGTTCTTAACATTATATATCAATTGACTTACAATCACTTTTAAGTTCTAGCTGTTTTTCATATGGCTAATGTATTTTCATTCCAGATGCAAAACGTCTCATAGGTAGAAAATTTGATGATCCCTGTGTCACCTCCGATAAGAAACACTGGCCTTTTGATGTGGTCAACGTTGAAGGTAAACCAAAAATGAGGGTCAAATACAAGACTGAAGAAAAGGAATTCTTCCCAGAAGAAATATCCTCAATGGTTCTCAACAAAATGAAGGAAACTGCAGAAGCCTATCTTGGCAAGGTAAAACTTATGGTGTTTTTTAGCTCACCTGGCACAAAGTGCCAAGTGAGCTTATGCCGTGGTGCGGCGTCAATATTTTACTTTGAACAACTTCTTCTTAATAACCAAAAGGGCTAGGATGATGATATATGGCCAGAAGCAAACTGGGATGAAGGGCTACAAAGTTTATTAAAATTAATGACCTTCATCCATTTTGAAGGTCACATGGGTCAAATATGTTTAAAAAAAACAAAAAACATCTTCTCGATAACCAAACTGCCCAGGGAGATGATATTTGGCCAGTAGCATGCTTGGGTGAAGGGCTACCAAGTTTGTTCAAATGAACGACCTTCACCCATATTCAAGGTCACAGGGGTCAAATATGTTAAAAACTTTAAACAACTTCTTCTCAATAACCAAAAGGCCAAGGGTACTGAAATTGGGCCTGTAGCATGCATGGATGAAGGGCTACCAAGTTTGTTCAAATGAATGACCTTTTCCCACTTTCAACCTAATGTCCTTGTTCAACATTCGAGGTCACATGCATCATGTTTAAATCTTTCAATAGGTTCTTATGAATCAAACACTGATATTCTGCCTGTAGCTGTTATTTAGTCTACTATTAAGATTACAAGTGTGAGATTAATACCAGGTGAGCGATGCAGGCCCATTGGGCTTGTTAAACCTGAGCCCTGATTTCATTATCGGTTTGTAATTCCATGGACCTAATTACTGCAACACTAGTAGAGACACTTGCTATATATAAGGTTTTGATTTTCAATATTATTAAATCATCAACCCTACAACAAGAAATGAAATAATTATAAATTCAATGCATACTTCAAAGTGTATACATTTGATACTTCAGTGTTCCTGTTCCAGCTAGGAAAAAGGGCATCTTTATATGTCAAAAGAGTTGATATAAGTACCAACACTGCTTAATTTATATTCCAGACTATAACAAATGCTGTAGTAACAGTCCCAGCCTACTTCAATGACTCTCAGAGACAGGCAACAAAAGATGCTGGGACAATTTCTGGACTGAATGTTTTACGTATCATCAATGAACCAACAGCAGCTGCAATTGCGTATGGTCTTGACAAGAAGGTAACGGTCTTTCAATATTGATTATTTTTTGACAAAATGTTTTATTAGCCATTGTTCGCCAACAAAAACGAACACCTTGGATGACCCCAAGTTAAATCTGCTTTTTAAACAGGAACTTACCCACTGCTAAATGCTTGAATGCACAGCTCCTAAGCTTGTATAATATTTGTAAAGGCCAGTCTTATGACGGAACATATTTTGTTATCAATCACGTGAATGGGCACAAAGTTTCTGGACAATATCTCAAGTAGTTTTCAACGGATTAGATTCAAACTTCAAAAGTATGTTTGTTGCTATGGTAGCACAGACAAGATCGATAACTGCAATTATGAGAACGTAAATTACAGAGTTATGGCCCTTTATTCATTTGCCAAAATGTGTCCGTTCGATGTCTCTTGTATGTAACGTTAGACAGAATATAATAATGTTAGCAACTTTAGGATTATTTACAAATGAATCGCATCAAACCTGTTGACTATTTATTAATTTATTAATCATAATGTTTGTAGAAGCTTTACAAATAGTTATATTTTTATCTAATGATATTTTTTGAGTCAACAAAACAAATTATGATAGCACAGTGTTATGTTAGCAACATTTAAGCAAATAGGCATAAACAAATCTTTCTCAAATTTGATATGTTGGTTCCCCTTGGTCCTGAGATTTGCATGTGAACTTTTGAGGTTGCTCAAAAGATTTATTAAGATGGCGAACAGGCAAACTGATCAAACTTAACAGAAAAGAAGAGAACATATCAAACTGATGAATACATACAAGCCTTTTTTTATAGCCGACTTTGGGCCAAATTCCCTTTCCAATTTTGGCATTATTTTCCCCTATTTTAGTTTAAAATTTCCCTACATCTACATGTAGTTCTATTGTTGTTTTTTTCCCCCATCCTTTCAACAACCAAGTGATTTATTTCATTATTCCTGTGTTCATGTTGTCACTGTCGATATTATAAGACTGTATTTATGGGTGGTCTTGTTTACAGTATATGATTTGAAGCATCTATAATGAACAGGGAGAACCAAAAATTTAAGATGTCATCCAGGCCCCCCTCCATATTTAACTTTAAAAAAGGCAATGTTTGGAAATCATAAAATGAAATGGTATTGATGAAATTCATTTATTCTTCAGGTTGGAGGAGAAAGGAACGTACTCATCTTTGATTTAGGTGGTGGTACTTTTGATGTATCCATTCTGACAATTGAGGATGGAATCTTTGAGGTAAAATCCACATCTGGGGATACCCACTTAGGTGGTGAGGACTTTGATAACCGAATGGTTAACCACTTCGTGCAGGAATTCAAACGTAAACACAAGAAGGACATCTCGGACAACAAAAGGGCTGTACGTCGTCTGAGAACAGCCTGTGAGCGAGCAAAGAGGACCTTGTCATCAAGTGCTCAGGCCAGTGTTGAGATTGACTCCCTCTATGAAGGAATAGATTTCTACACCAGTATCACTCGGGCACGTTTTGAGGAGTTGAATGGAGATCTTTTCAGAGGAACCTTGGACCCTGTCGAAAAATCGCTGCGTGATGCTAAAATTGACAAAGCTACTATACATGACATTGTACTAGTTGGAGGTTCCACGCGTATTCCAAAGATCCAGAAACTTCTTCAGGACTTCTTCAATGGCAAAGAACTAAACAAGTCAATTAATCCTGATGAAGCTGTTGCCTATGGTGCAGGTGTGTAATTTTGTCTTTTTTCATTTGGATATATAGAAGAAATTGAAAGCTGTTTGTCATAACCCATTGTCCAATTTCCATTTTCAAAAATGTTTTATTTGAAATGATTACATTGACTTATGTGACTTAATTTTGTTTCATTTCCAGCTGTGCAGGCAGCCATCCTTTCTGGAGACAAGTCTGAGGCAGTCCAGGATCTGTTGCTGTTGGACGTAGCTCCTTTGTCCTTGGGTATTGAGACTGCTGGAGGTGTGATGACATCACTTATCAAACGTAACACAACTGTTCCCACCAAGCAGACCCAAACATTTACCACTTACTCCGACAATCAGCCTGGTGTGTTGATCCAGGTTTATGAGGGAGAGCGAGCAATGACCAAAGACAACAATCTGCTAGGAAAATTCGAACTGGCCGGAATTCCACCAGCACCAAGAGGTGTACCTCAAATTGAGGTTACATTTGATGTCGATGCCAATGGAATCCTGAACGTTTCTGCCGTTGACAAGAGTACTGGCAAAGAGAATAAAATCACCATCACCAATGACAAAGGTAAGTTTCTCTTTCTTTGTTTTCTCATGAGATTGATAAAAAGTCTGTCCCTTGTGGTTTTAATGCAGAGGTTGCATTTAAATGCAATTAGCTGGATGACGCTCACATGTTTGTTACCACTACTATAGAGGTTTTGTACTCAAGTTTTTGATTTGAAATAACAGTAAATCTTTCCAAAAAAAAATCTGTCATGAATACTCTTTTTAAATGTTTGATAACCCGATCGATACTGGTGGTGTTTGTAGTCAATTAAGGTGAATTTCTTGTCTGTTAACAGGTCGTTTGTCCAAGGAGGAGATCGAAAGGATGGTGAATGATGCAGAGAAATACAAGTCAGAAGATGATACACAACGTAACCGTGTCTCTTCCAAGAACGGTCTAGAGAGCTATGCTTTCCAAATGAAATCCACTGCTGAGGATGACAAGCTGAAGGACAAGATAAGTGAAGAGGATAAGAAGACAATCAGTGACAAGTGTTCTGAAGTGATAGCATGGCTAGATGCAAACCAGCTGGCTGAGAAGGAGGAGTTTGAACACAAACAAAAGGAGTTGGAGGCGATTTGTAATCCCATTGTTACCAAGCTTTACCAGGGAGCTGGTGGAGCTCCAGGAGGCATGCCTGGTGGTATGCCTGGTGGAATGCCAGGTGGTATGCCTGGTGGTATGCCAGGTGGTGCCGACGGTGCCTCCACTGGTGGAAGCGGTGGCCCAACCATCGAGGAGGTTGATTAAATACGGGATACATCCAGGACTCTGTAACATCATGTTGATAACATTCAAAAATTGTTATAACTTATTTGTTGTTGACATAACATTACCATCAAAAACGTGTATTTCGAACACTGCTCAATGAAGTGATTTTAAAATCTGTCCCAACTGATTATGGCAATCTAGTCAAATGTAACTGATTAAGTGGTAAACAAATCAAAGCTCAACATACTTGTTTAATGTAAGCTAGTTACCAACAAACCGCTGTTTAGGAAGCTGGAAAAATTGCTTTCTTGTTTCCATCATGTTCACACTTTAGTGAGGTCAAGAATTAGGTTATTTAAAATCACAAATGTGTCTGATGTGTTGTTTTTTTATTTATATCTTCTTGACTTTTTTCATCATTCCACTTGCAACAAAATGAAAACTAACAATTTTGTCAAGCTCAATAGAACCCTTAAATGCAACAAAATCATGTAGATGCTATTTCAAAAGTTGAAAAAGTATCTTCAAAGGAAAAAGAAGTAGAACAAATGAACGATTAATAAAAGAGCCAGAATAAAATATTGTGTTTTCTTGTTTCTTCCTTTCCCCCCTCCCAATAAGGATCGAAGTGGATGCTCTAAATCTTGTTTGTCAATCCATTTCACCTCTGTTGACGCACAATATCTTTTGATTTCCTCAAATTCAATCGAGGATTCATACTTTCAACTCTTCACCTTATAGAATTTCCTTGAATTGCTGCTTCCTTTGAATTCTTTGAGTTTACAGATCAAAGATAAGGTCTTGACTATAAATGGAAAATTTGTTTCTGCACAGTAGCTCGTGTGTTTTGCTGATGGTTACCATAAATTGTTTTCAAAGGTAAGATTTTTAGCCCATCATCAGATGATGGGCTATTCAAATCACCCATGGTTGGTGGTTTGTCATATTGTCTGTCCTTAAACAAATCTTCTTAGTGCTATTTCTCGTAAACTACTGGAGGGTCTTTATTTTGCATATGAAGGTTCCCCCCCCATGGTCCTTAGTTATGCATATCAAATTTCCGGCTAGGCCAAGATTGTCAACGGGTAGCCATCTTGCTTTGAGAAGTTTGATATCGCTCTTTCTCAAATTTTACACGAAGGTTCTCTATGGTCCCTAGATATGCATATAGGTTAAAAGTTTATAGGGGTATTTCACACGTTGGTTCTCGGTTACGCATATTGAATTTCCAGACTGATCTGACAAGAGCCATCTTTTTACAGTTAGTCAACCTGGGATGTCGTGTTACACCACCACACTATAACCCAGCTGTGTTACAGTTAGTCAACCCGGGATGTCACGTTACACCACCACACTATAACCCAGCTGTGTTACAGTTAGTCAACCCGGGATGTCACGTTACACCACCACACTATAACCCAGCTGTGTTACAGTTAAGTCAACCCGGGATGTCATGTTACACTACCACACTGTAGCCCAGCTGTGTTACAGTGACATTTAAAACTAAATTAAAATAAAGGGGATGTTATTGTATCAAAAAAATCACAGCAGTGGAGTGGTGCATGGATCCTTAAAGGGTCCATGCTAATAACGGGACGTAAAACTTAATGAAAGAGAAAAAAAAAAATATGAATATAAAACATATTTGGGCACATTTACACTAAAAATAATTTATGTGATGGAGAAATACATAATTCAATTATCATAAAATATAATTTGATGACATTCTAGATAAAACAACCGTGAAAGTAACAACATAATAACGACTATAAAATACTACAAGCTTTTGTTAAATGATGGAGGCTTCCTCTCCTTAGTTCCAGAGATTGTCTACTGAACGTATACCACTGAAGTATAAACTTTGTCACAGGACAGAATGACAGTCAGATTATCATTGTATTCTCACAGTATTATTAAATAGCTCCAACAAGGGTTGTTATGAACACAGTAGGTTTGTCATATTTTGTTTTAGTTCTCTAGGGAGGTCGGAATAGGACAAGTTTCCATAGTATGTTTACATTTGAAAAATCATTAGATTGAGAAATTGTATATGTGATTGTTTAATTAAAGTTTTCCAATGAAATACGGAAATAGTCAATATTCATTCAATTTAAAGTTAATGACCGATATATATTATAAGGTTTCAAACCCCTGCATGAGCATAGTGTATAGTTTATAGTGCCCTCAGTAATTGATTCTACTGTTGACATCGAATTCCCCACACGCTTGTATGTCGGGATACAGGGCATCTACACTCACAACCAACTGACCCACAAGGCTATCCCCAAAACTGGACACTTAAAACGCTATTCAAGATAGTAATTTACGTCAAGTACCTTACTACTTTCTCTGCGGCGATAGGGCAAACAATAAGTTCTACATACTAGGTTGGTTATTTATATCGAGCTAACGGCATAGTTAATGACCAACGTTGTACTTGTGGTTCGGCTATCGAAGATGCATACCATTTCTTTTTAAACTATAATAATTATGTCATACAAAGAGCAACTCTTTTCCGAGAACTGAATAAATATGTGCCTATACCCTGAACTCGCTGATCATGATTTTTTTAATTTATTTATGCATACTCAGCAATATATTATTCACGACTCAAACAGATTTCAATAATCCTTTTCCCTCTGTCTACTCTACTCTCAGTGCAATTAAAAAGACTTTTAACAATTGTTATTAATGTTAAGCAATTTTGTTTTGACCTGTGATGGTTGTTTCTTTGGTCTTTCCTGATTCAAACGGCAAAGGCGAAACGGATATTCAAGGACGACTGGAATGACAAGGAGGAAACTACCCATGGCACGGGATGTGATGAAAGTGCAAAGTCTATGCAAAGTCTGTGTAGTTTTGCCATCTTGAATTGTAGTTAAAATTCTAATTGTAAAAGTGTTGCAAAAGGGCTTCGTATAAGTTATTCAACTTGTGCCCAATCACATTGCTAATTATATTGACAATAAAATATGTTTAAATAAACAAAAATGGACACTAACTTTATAAAATGGACAGAGTTTTTAAGGGAGTTTTTTTCTCGATGTGTCGAACTTACGACAAAGTCAAGAATTGCTCCCTTTTATAATACTCCTTATATTCTTTTCGTGTATAGAACTTTTATGAGTCAAATTTCTCGTTGTTTTGAAGTAAAATCAATGCCATTTCGTTATAAAAACATTAAAAAATAAAACTTATAAATCGAAGTGAAATGTTTACCTGTTCCAACACATTAAAATACCCCCTGGTAATTTAACAGTACAAGCCATGGAATCTGATTAACAACGAAATGTTGAAGTTGATAAGAAATGCAATATTTATGTTTAAAATCAAATGTCTTAGCCTGTGTTTCGTCACATTTCTTAAGGATCATCTTCTGTCATTTTTACAGGATCTCGATGTTCAATATTCGGGAGTCGAAATCCCGTTTTTTCAAATTTTCGCAGATGGTCCCGCAATGATCGAAACATCGGAGTTTGCCTGTATTATAAATCTTTTCATAGAACACCCAGCAATACAATGGCTTTAATGTATGTGCTCATTGGCTGTACAGATATAAATACTGGCAATTGTATCTGACCAGTGACCCTGGATGGTCAGTGGTCAACACTTTCCCGGTACTACACAATAATCATGCCACCTTAATTATAGTGTGAAAGCGCTAACGGGGCTGTGTCTTTCGAATCGTATTGAGTTATGTTTCCATAAATGTATGTCCAGAATTTCAATTTCAATTTCAACAAATTTTATTGACAATATAAGCAATAGTCAATAGGATCAGACATCAGGCATAGCCAATCTAAGACCTCTCCTTAAAGTGACAACAGGTGGTAAGAAACACAGATATATCTGTACATTGATATGATGTTTGGGATAAGGGGAAGTAACTCATTGATGTAAACAGACTTGTTCAGTATTTTTGAGATATAGTAAATAGTAACCCTTTCACTAGGGATATTTAATTTGAGATATTTACTAGACTATTACCTTCAGTGAATAGTATCAAGTATTGACAATGAGTTACTGGTATTCATATAAGGTAAACTGTTGAGTATAATTATTTGGTGATATTGGATTTATTCCCTCAACAGATACAGGCCATACAGTCCATATGTATAACACACTAGCCATCACACACTGTTAAGGATCAAAAGCCGATTTCAGCAAGTAGATATATAATTTGTAAGTAGGGCTACACCAACTCCTGTAAGTAATGTGGTAATTCTTTAGTTAAATTGAAAGGAGTTCCTCCATATCTTGATGTAAGCTTAAAGAAGAAGAAGAAGAAAACAGAAAACAAAACAAACAAAAAACACACACACAAAAAAGAAATTGGTATATATAAAAGCTAAATTAGTAATTATCAAAGGTAAAATAAAGTATCTAATTAATTCCATATTATATTACATTAGGGGGGGGGGGGATAAAGCTTTTATACATATAACTTGAAAAAATATATATACATATATATAAGAATGTAAGAATGTATAATTATGTTCCAAAAAATAGTAAAGGTAAGTCAAATATTATATTAATGAATACAGATCTTTATAGTTTGACAAGAAATTGGTTTTGTAATAGACGTGGAATTGTTATGTTCCAGATATAGGATTGCTACGTGCCAGATATAGGATTATAACGTACCAGATATAGGATTGTAACGTACCAGATATAGGATTATAACGTACCATATATAGGATTATAACGTACCATATATAGGATTGTAATGTTCTAGATATAGGATTGTAACGTACCATATATAGGATTATAACGTACCAGATACAGGATTGCAACGTACCAGATATACGATTGTAACGTACCATATATAGGATTATAACGTACCAGATATAGGATTATAACGTACCATATATAGGATTATAACGTACCAGATATAGGATTGTAACGTACCATATATAGGATTGTAACGTACCATATATAGGATTGTAACCTACCAGATATAGGATTGTAACGTTCCATATATAGGATTATAACGTACCATTTATAGGATTGTAACGTACCATATATAGAATTGTAACGTACCATATATAGGATTATAACGTACCAGATATAGGATTATAACGTAACAAATATAGGATTGTAACGTTCCATATATAGTATTATAACGTACCATTTATAGAATTGTAACGTACCATATATCGGATTATAACGTACCATATATCGGATTATACCGTACCAGATATAGGTTTGTAACGTACCATATATACGATTGTAACGTACCACATACAGGATTGTAATGTACCATATATAGGATTCTGACGTACCATATATAGGATTATAACGTACTATATATAGGATTATATAGAATTGTAACGTACCATATATCGGATTATAACGTACCGTATATACGAGTATAACGTACCAGATACAGGATTGCAACGTACCAGATATAGGATTATAACGTACCATATATAGGATTATAACGTACCGTATATAGGAGTATAACGTACCAGATATAGGATTGTAATGTTCTAGATATAGGATTATAACGTACCAGATATAGGATTGTAACGTACCATATATACATAGGATTATAACGTACCAGATATAGGATTGTAACGTACCATATATAGGATTCTGACGTACCATATATAGGATTATAACGTACCATATATAGGATTGTAACGTACCAGATATAGGATTATAACGTACCAGATATAGGATTGTAACGTACCATATATACATAGGATTATAACGTACCAGATATAGGATTGTAATGTTCTAGATATAGGATTGTAACTTACCATACATAGGATTATAACGTACCAGATATAGGATTGTAATGTTATAGATATAGGATTGTAACGTACCATATACAGGATTATAACGTACCATATATAGGATTGCTAAGTGCCAGATATAGGATTGCTACGTGCCAGATATAGGATTATAACGTACCAGATATAGGATTGTAATGTTCCAGATATAGGATTGTAACGTACCATATATAGGATTATAACGTACCAGATATAGGATTGTAACGTACCAGATATAGGATTGTAACATACCAGATATAGGATTGTAACGTACCAGACATAGGATTGTAACGTACCAGATATAGGATTGTAACGTACCATATATAGTATTATAACGTACCATATATAGGATTGTAATGTTCTAGATATAGGATTGTAACGTACCATATATAGGATTATAACGTACCAGATATAGGATTGCAACGTACCAGATATAGGATTGTAAC